TTTCATCTCTGGCTGCTGCAGCCTTAGAGAGTAAACCAGCGGATGGAAGATCTTTCTGTCTCTGCTTCTCTCTGTAAATATGATCTGCCTTACCAATAAAAAGACATTTTTTTTTTTTTAAATCCCTACCTTTGATTCCTTTGGGAAAAAAAATGTAGTCCTGGGCCTGGTGCAGTAGCTCAGCTGCTCAAGTCCTGGCCTTGCATGCTCCGGAATCCCATACAGGTGCCGGTTCTAATCCTGGCAGCCTCATTTCCCTTCCAGCTCCCTGCTTGTGGCCTGGGAAAGTAGTGGAAGACGCCTAAAGCCTTGGGACCCCACACCCACATGGGAGACGTTAAAGAGGCTCCAGGCTCCTGGCTTCGGATCGGTGCAGCTCCAGTTGTTGGCTCCAGTTGTTGTGGCTGCTTAAGGAGTGAATCATCAGACAGATCTTCCTCTCTGTCTCTTCTCCTCTCTGACTTTGCAATAAAAATAGATAAATCTTATTAAAAAAAAAAACTGTACTTCTAATCTTCCACCTATTTTGCTCTAGCTAAGTCCAGACTGTAGAAAAAGTGCTCTTTTCTGAAGTGGGGTTCTAGAGGGTTCTTCCTGGTGCACCTTCCATTTAAAATGTCTAGCTGGTTACCACTGTGCATTGAGCACCCTTCAGATAACAGCTTCTATCTTTTTCAGTGGGCTGTGGGCCAGAATCTGAGATGCATTTACAAGGACACTCTCATCATGGAAACGTATCTCCCTTGATTCACTTTGGCTTTGCGTGGTCACTGTTCATCCCTTGCAATGCTTTCAAAATTTATGATACAGCCTCTCTTATAAAATAAAGGAATTATCAGATGTTACAAAAAACCTCCTTAACACAGCCAGGAAGAATGAAGGAGGGCACTGGAGTACAAATCAACATAATGGCTCTTTCACTTCACTCGTTAAAATGAAATGTCTTCCTCTAGAGGGACGATGTCAATGTGAAAATCTGCATTTATATAGCACTCTCATTTTATTCTCTAAAATTATTATTAAGCATTATACCTTTATCATAGACCTGCAGAGTAAGTTAGTAATTTAAAAACAAACGTTGAGATAGATCACAAAGGTTAAGTGTAGCTCCTGATAGTCAACCGGGGGGAGAGACTGGGGTAAGCGTGGTTTTTAAAGCCGCCCGACTCACTGTAGACCCATGGCAGAGCGCTTAGCCACCACGCACCCCAACCTCCTCCTGGCTAAGACAGGAATAGCAGCGCTAATTCACGGCTGAGAGGATTAAACATGCAGTCCGTTTCTGAAACATAATCCTGACATGGACTGATTTGAACAAATGGGTACAAATATACCCTATGACTTTTTTTTTATGAAAGTAGAAAAAAAATTTAGGTCTGTAGCCTCAGAATTCACTTACTGCTCTTGCCATAAGGTCACATTGCCAAAAACTATCCAGAGTGCAAAAGCATTCACAAATACTCACTCTTCCTCTGATGGCATAATCAGTAAACACTAATCGATGAGAGAGTTTTCAATAGGGAGTCTCTGTCACCGAAGGGGACAAGCTAATTACACAGAGCAGAAAGACGAGGGTTCACGAGACGCCATGCGCAGAGAAACAAAGTGCTATTTAAGAGAGGAAGTGTTTTAACGGCAAGTTTTTTTTTTTTTTTAATTTTCTAAAAACAAAGCATGGTACACAGTACAAAGCATTCATTAAACTCTCAGAATTCTATTTTAAACATGGTAAACAGGGCAGACCTTACGTCTCGAGGTCACGGTGCCAGTTCACCAGCCTGTTTCCAGGACTGCAGTGGTGCTGTGGTGCTGGCACCTGTGCATGGGGCGCCAGTTTAAACCTCAGGTGCTCCATTTCTGATCAAGCTGCCTTTCAATGTGCCTGGGAAGCTGCAGATGACCACCCAAGTACTCAGGCTGCTGGCCCCTAGGTGGGAGGACAGGATGAGATTCCTGGCTCCTTGCTTTGGCCCAGTCCAGACCTATCTATCACAGTCATTAGAACGAATCGGTAGAAGGAAAATGTCTCCCTCTGCTTCTTTCTGTGTCACTCTGCCTTTCAAGATAAGTATTTTTTTTTCTTTAAGATTTATTTATTTTTATTGGAAAGGCAGATTTACAGAGGAGAGACAGAAAGAGCTTCCATTCTCTGGTTCATCCTTCTAAAATGGCCGTAATGGCCAGAGCTGGAATCAAGCCAGGAGCCAGGAGCTTCTTTTGGGTCTCCCGTGCAGGTTCAGGCGCCTAAGGCTTTGGACTGTTTTCTAACGCTTTCCCAGGTCACAAAGCAGGGAGCTGGTTCAGAAGTGGAGCAGCTCAGACTTGAACCGGCACCCATATGGGATTCCAGTGCTTGCAAGATGAGGATTTAGCTGATGTGCCATTATGCCTGCTCCAATAAGTAAATGTTTTAAAGAAAAGATCTGTAAAATTGAAAACAAATAAATAAGATTTGTTTCCCGTAAGTGAGTACATGGGTTGAATTCTCACTCCAGCCCTGATTCCATCCTGCCAGTGCAGACTTCCTGAGAGTCAGGAGGACACGGCTCCAGTGGCTGTGCCCACGTTACCCACAAAGGAGACTCGAATTGGTTTCATGGTTCCTGGCTTCCCCCCGCCAAGTCCTGGCCATTGTGGGCATCTGAGGAATGAATCAAACAATGGAAATGGTCTGTTCTCCCCCACCCCTTCTCTCTCTCTCTCTCTTTCTCTCTCTCTCTCTCTCCCTGAACCAGACTCCCTCTCTCTGCCTCTTGGATATAGTAAAGCAAATAAATCAGTGTAGTAATACTATACTTTCATAATTTAAGCCTAACTTACAAAGAATTAATACAAAATTAAAGTAATAATAATAATAATAATAAGTAGCAATCCTTGGACAATGCCAATCATATCCTAACTATTTTATAAAACTTTCTTTAAGCTTCACAGTGAAACAGAGGGAGGAATCCTAAAACTGTTATCTCTTGAGGAATGAGAAAACTGACAAACTCTAAGATTATATAACCTGACCACAGTCAGTATAAGACAAAGCAAGAGATTTGAATCAAACTGCTTCTGCTGGCAGAATATCATGAAATTAAAGTAAATGGCCGAGGATCTGGCACTGTGGCCCAGGAAGTTACACCATCACCAAAAGTGTTGGCATTCCAAATGGGCTCCAAATTAAATTCTGGCTATTTCACTTGTAATTCAGCTCCCTGCTAACAGCCTGGGAAAGCAGCTTCCTGATACAACCCCAATGCTGAAGCCCCTGCTACCCATGTGGGAGAGCTGGAAGAAGTTCATGGTTTTGGCTTGGTAAACCCTAGCGGTGGCAGACATTTGGGGAGTGAAGCAGGGAATGAAAGATTTCTGCCCTTCTCGGTCTCCGTAGTCTCTTCAAATAAATTAACATATCAATCTTTTTTTCTTTTTAAAGAAAGAGTATCTGCTTCCAGTTATAAAAAGAAACTAAAATAAATGTCCTTCAAGACTCCTTGTAAGTCAAAGGTCTAAGGGTATTAAGCTCACACTCTGCCCCTTCTAGCTAAGTTCACACCCTAATCCTTCAGGAACAAAAGAAAACAAGAGGTGTGACATTTACAGGTAATGCAAGAGGAAAAAGCAAGAATCCAGACTGACCATTTGAGAGGAACCTTCCAAACCGAGACGCAGGGCCCCATCATCAAAGAACATCACGCAGGATAAGCAAGAAAACGCAGCCTACTGCAGGCTGTCAACACATAAACAGTGTCAACATACACACAAGATGGGGAGGTACGAATATAGCCTACTGGGCTCAGTCACACTTATAATTTAAAATAGAAAAATAAAAAAAGCAAAGTGGTAAGATGAGTCTGACAGCAGCCGTCGCCGGGAGACTGTGCTGCTGTTCCACTAGGCAAAACACAGGCTGGCAAAATGCCAACCCAAATATTTGTGCCACACTTCACAAAGCACCCATCAATGCACAGGTACCACTTTCCAACCGCTGTCAGGTCACACCATCTCTTCTTTCTCAGTGAGCTCCAGTAGGAACTGGGGTCCTAGCAAGACCCCACAGCAGTCATCAAGAATGTACTGATAGGGCCCACCCAGCACAGTAGCCTAACGGCTAAAGTCCTCACCCTGCACAGGCCATACAGGCGCTGGTTCTAATCCCAGGGGCCCTGATTCCCATCCAGCTCCCTGCTTGTGGCCTGGGAAAGCAGTTGAGGATGGCCCAAAGCCTTGGGATCCTGCATCCGCACGGGAGACCCAGAAGGGGCTCTGGGCTCCTGGCTTTGGATCAGCACAGCTCTGGTCGTTGTGGTTGCTTGGGGAGTGAATCATCGGATGTAAGATATTCCTCTCTGTCTCTCCTCTCTGTATAACTGACTTTTCAATAAAAATAAATCTTCCAAAAAAAAAAATTAATAGGGTACTGGTAACACAGCAGTGTTCTGTTTCTCACCTACACATTGGGAAAACTTGGAAGATCACCTTCTAGGACTAAAGAAAAACAAAACTATTTTTTTCCCTTCTATGATGGTAAACAGAAATCCAGGAAAGCCACATCAGTCTAATGGCCATTCACCTTCCTCCCTCTCTCTCTCTCTCTCTCGCTCTCTAGCTCTCTCTCTCGCTCTTTCTAGCTCTCTTACTCACAGGACACATTCCTACAGGCAAAGATCCATAGAAGCTCTCAGGAAGCTGCTGAGTCAACAGTTTTATTTACACCCTTCCAATATTATCTTTGTTTTGGACACTTTTACTAATCTGCAAACAATGGGAAATCTACATCTGCCAGGGTGGTAATGGGATTCACCCCAGTCTCATTGTGAAAAGAAAGATGTTCTTTTCTAATGAGTTTGCTATTAGGAAAGGGGGGAGGGGCTATTTCCATTAAAAAAAAAAATCACCCAAATTTGACAAGTTCTTTCCTGTTTCTACAGCCACTGTCACCTCAAAGAGAAGCGACATCTCGGGCTCCTCTCCCTAATCGTAACCGGAAACGCAGGACTCTGGGGTAGACCCACCTTGTGAGTAGAGAAGAATCTGCATCTCCAGCAGCACACAGGTGAACACCTGCACCAGGTTCTCCAGTCCGAGCAGCTCAAAGGCCTCTCTCAGAGGGTAATCAGACAGCGGGAGTTCGTTGGGGCCAGGTCTCTGGCAGATGACAGGTTCGTAAACACCGTAAAATTTCAGCGACCTCCCCGGCGGTGGAAGGGGCACCTCGTAGAGAATATTATGGATGTAGCTCTCCAGTGGCAAGGGTGGGGGCTGCTGGGAGGTGACTGCCTGGTAAAGCTGCAGCAGGAATTTCTTGCAGGCCTGCATGAACGGGAGCGGGGTGATGAGGCAGATGCTTTTGGAAACATACAGGGTGTCTCTGTTGATGTCGTACGAGTTGTAGCGCTGGAGTTTCAGGAGGGAGGTTGTGTCGCCATCGTCGATGCTGCTGGCCAGGGAGTCCATGCTACAGGAGGACGAGGCGTGTACGCTGCTGGGATGCTCAGCGTTGTGCATCTGGTACAGTGTCTGCATCGCGGTGCAGATCTGTTTACTTGTGACTTCTTCATAAAAAGTGAGAACAAAACCATAGGTGCGGGAACCGTCCTCTCGGGTAATGATAAATGAGTGGAACTGGGGGTCCTTGTTGTCCACTTGTGTCCTGAATGACAGCCCTTTGGGCATGCACAGCTGTGGAGGGAGAGAAAAGCATCGGGCTCATCAAAAATGTGCATTGTTTTATAAAACAGGATTCAAAAGGACAGTTTTTATCTAGACTGCAAGCTCCTCATTTACACCTAAATAAAATTATTTTCGAGGGATGTCACAGTGGCTTCCCAGGAGCACACTAATCCTCGACTCCATATGGGTGCCGGTTCATGTCCCGGCTGCTCCATTTGCCATCCAGCTTCCTGTTGACGGCCTGGGGAGGCAGCAGAGGTGGCTCAACACGTTAGGTCCCTATACTCATGTGGGAGACCCGAAAGGAACTTATGGCCCAGTTCTGGCAGTTGTGGCCATGTGGGAGAATGATCAAGCAGATGGAGGATCTCTGTCTGTCTGTCTGTCTGTCTCTCTCTCTCTCTCTCTCCCTCTCTCCGTGTAACTCTGACCTTCAAGTAAAAAAGAAATAAAATAAACCTAAAAAAATATTGTTCTCATGAATACATAAACAAGGAAGAAATCTTTATTATGTGACATTATATGCTGGAGGCTTTACTAAGAAAAAGATCTTTGACTTAATGCCAGTGAGTCTCTAAGGAGCTTGTGACCTTCAACAAACCTGAGTTCTCTGGGCCACTCTGCTCCAGCACCTACAACTGTTGTACCATAACTGGAAGACACACTAGTATGCAGAACTCTACAAGTACTGGATATCTTGTAGCAACGATGATAATGTTTCAAACCAAACATCTTGAAACAGGTGGGAAAACAGGTGACGGTTCATTTGATAAACAGAAAAGAATAAAACAAAAAATAATAAAACAACATCATCACTGCTATTCTGGATGATACTTTATCTTAGAAAAATACATTTTGAAAGTGGAAAGCTTCTTGATTTACTCAAACAGAAGGGCAGAAACAAGACACCTGGAATTATTTCCAGTAAAGACCATGCTGCTCTGGGTCTTGGTAACTACTCCAGATTGAGTCAAACACTGGAACAAAACTACCAAAGATCGAATGATGCTGTATTTCAGACACCTACATTGCAGAAAAACATCAGAGTTGACTCCTTAAGACATTTTAAAATCAAATAAACAAATATAGAACATGCAAAATACACTGAGAAAAACGAACCTGTATTCAATCACCTTAATAACAGGTATTCAGTTTCATATATTTCTATCTGCCTTTCAGTGTTTGCATTGGAGTAGTTTTACTGCACATTAATTACATTTTTCTATTTTTTTTCACACTTAGTAACTAATTTTGGCACTAAAATTAGATGTTCTCCCAATCTCTTTACCAAGAAGATGCAATTGACCTTAACAGTTACACACCCTTCACTCACACTGTCAACAGATTTACATATGTTCCTTGATGGCAATGCAAAGGCGAGGAAGACAGACACTGCTGGAGCTTCTGGTGGCTCTGAGTGCAACAAAGACGGCAGATGACTGACAAACACAAGCAGAGGAAGGGCCATGACAGGGCCCCACCCAGGCTGCCATGGGAAAAATACAGCAGGCTGACACACATTACAAAAGGAGAAAAACAGGGGAAAAACAGTCCAAGCTGAAAGCTGCCAGGAAGAGGAAGCTGATCCCAGGTGGGAGACACCAATGCGCAAAGGCCCAGGTGAGAGAACCCACGATGTGATGAGGTGAAACGGGACGGGGTGGGGAAGCGAGAGGAGACACTAAGACAGTCAGTAGGGGCAGGTCCTCGCAGACACACCTGAGCCACATCCCATTCAGCTCTTGTACACATAAACGGGTGTTAGGGCCTAGTTCAGTCCAACCGATCCCACTCTCCAGTCCACACCCATGCTGTTGAGTGCCACAACCAGTCTAGCCAAGTCTGCCCCTTGGCCTTTGCATCAGATGCTGCAGCCTGGCCTGGCCTGCCCCAGTCCCAACTCTTGCTGGTAGGTGCTGCAGCCTAGCCCTGCCAAGCCTGCCCCCATCCCTGGCTTTCGTACAAATTCTCAAGTGTGATATCCTAGCCCAATATGACTCACACTCCAGCCTGGTTCCTGTACATGCTAGTAAGCTAAAGTTTGGCCTCGCCCTGCCCAGTCTACCCCCCTCCAGAACCAACCCACATATCTGCTGACAGGTGGAGCTACCTTGCCTGGCTTGACCAACACCTAGGCCTGAATCATATGCTCACCAGTAAGACCTATGACCCACCAGGGAAGGTCCCCAAGTTCTCCCATAAGACCCACTCCAGTACCCAGATCTCACACATGCCAACAGGTGTTAGGCCCGTACCTGACATGGTTTGCCTCCTCCGTTCCAGCCTATGTAGGAGTTGGTGGATGTTGTAGCCTGGCCCACCTCACACACTCTTCTTAGGTGCACCTGTAGATGCTACAGCCTGGACCAGCCCGGCCTGATCCCAACCCCAGTGCCCATGACTGTTGGAGGGTTCCATGGTCATGCCTAGCTCATCCTGTCACTACTCTAAGCTTTTAAGAAAACCAGTGGAAATTTTGCAGTTCCACAGGGGTGGGCCCACTTATCCCTCACAGAATCTGCCCCCAGACCTGGTTCTCTCACGTGCTACTTAGTGTCATGGCCCAGCGTAACATTATCTGTCCCTTGTTCCAACACTGCTGGATACTGAGATCTAGCCCTGCCAGGAAGGCCCACAGGCCTAGCTTTAGTGTGTACTGGTGAGTTGTGATCAACTGTGAACCACGCTCAGGTCTCCCATGTGAGCTGGTCCATTGGTCAGATCTTTAAAGGTCCTCCAGTTTCCCCACTCCAAACTGCTCAGTTTCAGCCCCTTTACTTACCTGCAAGTACAATCGCTTTGTTGATGGAAGTCCATTAGAAGTCATTCCACATCTACAACATACTCCCTCAGTGGTCATCCCTCCCACCCATACTCTTACTTCCTTCCCTGAGCAATCCAGTCCCTGCACCCGGGAGCACATGGGTTCCCCAGCCCAGTCTTCCGATGCCCAATCTCTCAGTGGGGTGGGGTGTTGGCCTAAAGCTCTGCACACCTGCTAGGGTCCTAAGCTCCTGGCATGAGTGCTGGACTAGGACCTTACCCCTCTGCCCACTCAAGATCCATGCCCATTCAAAGTTGCCCAAGCCCAGTCCACCAGCACACCACAGCAGCATGTTAACCTAGGGCTCTCTCTTCCCTTTCTTCCACCCCACTCAGGACCAACACATGGGGAAATCCCCAGGCTTGCTCTGGCTGCCTTGGCATGAGTCCCCAGGTCTCCACTTGCCCCATGGGTGTTATCCCCCTTGTCCTCTGCAAGCTTGTATCCCCATACTCCCTACAAGCCAACTTGTCCATGGTGGGCCAATTCCCGCCCCCCCCCCCCACCGCCCTTTTTTAAAGGATATATGGAGAAGCTGGGGAATGCTGGACTGGGAAACGCCACCCTAGTCCCAGTGTAGGGGAACTGCATGCAGGTTGCCTGGGGAAGAAAGTCTGGGTTCATATTGCAGTGGGAGTTGCTGAGGGCAATTTGACAGTAGAGGAATGATTTCTAGTGTCTTCACAGACTGGGCCACTGCAGTCACAGGTAGACAAGGGAGCTGAGATGGAGTGGTTCAGAGGGAGGAACTGGTAGTGTATCTGTGTCAGGCCAAATCATTCACCCACATGGATAATCTGGAATGGGCTAAACAGCATGCCTACCATCCACTAGTGCATGCAAAAGCTGGAACTGGGGGTGAGAGGGCATACCTGGCTGTACCAGGCCACAGTATCTGCTTGCAAGTGTTAGAGCAAGGGGTAGACCACATCCGACATCAGGCTGGGCCACAGCACCTACCAAAAGGTGAGAACACTAAATTTGGGAGCAGACTCTCTAGGGGACTTACGGGCTTGCCTCTGTGGGGCTACAGCACCTGCTGGTTTGAGTGCAGAGAGCTGGGGTTGGTGATGGGCTAAGCCAGGCTGGGTCACAAAACTTACCTGACACAGGAACTGTGGCTGGGAAGGGGCTGGGTGGGGGCTGGGCTGAGGCAGGCCACAGCACCAAGCAGTACATGCAAAAGCCAGGACTGAGGGCAGATCATGCCAAGCAGAGCAGCAGCACCTACTAACACATGTGCAATCTGTGACTGGGAGGGGGGGAACTTTAAAAACTCCCCTGGTAGGATGCAGCTCCCACTGGGGAGCACAACAGCCACGGCTGGGGGTGGGCCAGGCCAGGCCAGGCATGGCTTGGGCATTCCTCAGTGTCTGTGTGGGCCAAGTAATATTGGCTGGTGCAGGTAAAGGTCCAAACCTGACCCTGCACTGGTTGGCATGCACAAGAGTCAAGTCTGAGGTCACCCCAGGTGGGGTTTCTTGCGGAATACCCCAACTAGATTGCTGCATTCAAGCCCTGGGCACAGGTAAAATCACAAAACATGTGGTCCAATCTTGTAGTATATGTGTCAAGACTGGGCCTCCTCAGTTGGTGCTGCCTGTACAATGGACAGCATGCCCACGTGCAAATGAGGGACATGACAGCCTCATCTAGGCCAGCAGAGGGCATCAATTGTCTTGTCAGAGGATGGAAAGTAGAACAGTTGGACCACTCTCCTGGCTAAGCTTTGCATCATGCTCTGGGTCTGGAGATGCAGAACTGGACTTTATCAGCCAAAAGACCTTGGAAAGATTTTCTTTCTTTTTTTTTTTTTTTTTGACCTTGATTTATTATGTATTTTACAGACTTTCTTTTTTTTGACAATCCTTACAAATTTAATTGGGGTAAAAAAGGTTCAAGGTCTAAAGGGGGATATAGAGGAAGAAGCCCCACCCAGTCTCCCGCCCACCCCAAGTCCCGGATGTGGGGCATGCTCTGAGATACTCGATCAAGTGGTTCCAATAGTTCACCGTTCATGGGTTGTTGCCAGTCTCGCCACCCCAATCATGATGTGGTCATTGAAGAGTTCATTGATTGACACAGTCCCTTCTAGGGTCTCCATTTGCCCAGTCTCTGCTGCCAACAGATGGCTGAGGTTGTTGCTTGATTTGTCCTGTCTTTCCCTGGTTAGGACTCCGAGTCC